CATTGATCTCTTGGCTATCTGGAAGCAGCTATGATGCCAGTACTGGCATACTGGCAGCAGGAGAGTCAAGACTTCTTGGTTCTCAATTTCTGCTGGAGAGTAGAATTCCAGTCTCTTTCCTTCCTCCTGTCTTTCTCTATTCTATCTATCTATCTATCTATCTATCTATCTATCTATCTATCTATCTATCTATCTATCTCCATCATTATCTACCTATCATAACAGCTGATGGAAGCTACTATACTACAATTCTCTGGCCTTCTACCAACTTCTTTAACTATTATTTTTTTCTTAAAGATTTTAGGGTGTTCTGTAGTTTATGGGCTAAACCATTACAGACATACCAGGAATATGATGACTGACTCCCCTTTTCCTGAACTAAGCAAGTATCCAGGCTCCATCAATTTTAACTTTTACCAGTGCATAGGGAGAAGTCCTTTTCCTATGACTACAGATCCAACTATGTTGTTGGTTATCTTAATGTTCCCTGAAGGACTGTTAAACCATTTCGACTATCTTTGTCCTCATTTCCAGCCACCATTGATGTTGTCTAAGTATAGACCTTAAACTCAGCAGTGAGTCTGGCCTGTAGTAGCAATTATACAGTCAGACCCAATTATAAAATTATAGTGAAAATATATACTTGATTTAATGGCTAATTCTTTACCTTGTCAAAGTTCTTATAAAACAATGAGAAAAATTTAAATATGCAATGAAAAATACCCAAAAACTTTAAAATATTTAATTTTAAAAATTAATTTTACAAATGTTTTTGTTTTGTTTTGTTTTGTTGTTTGAGACAGGGCCTCACTATATAGTTCTAGCTGGCCTAGAATTTATTCTGTTGTTTCTTCTATCTTTGAACTCATGGATTTGCCTGCTTCTATTTCCCTTGTGCTGGAATTAAAGTCATGCACCATCATGCCCAGCACATCACACAGTTTTTAGAACTTGGGCTGTCACTCAGTGGTCTTGTGCTTCCTTGCATATTCAAGGCACTGGGTTTTATTCCCCAGAACTGCCAAAGTGGTGAAGGAAGCTTCAAGTTTTTTCATAGGGTGACAGCAATATTGAGAGGAACGATCCATCAACTACATAGAGGCAGAAAGAACATTGGAAATTAAGTTCCCATAGGTACCATGGGAAAATAGGGGTTGCCTCCTGGCCTCCTAGTTCCTGCTAAATGAATCAAGATTCTATTAGTTAGTACATCTTGAAACCTTGAGTTCTGTCATTAAAAACATTGGCAAAGCAATTAATTATTCAATTACTCAAGAAAAAATGAGAATGACAAGGTGAGAGTTGCCTGAAGACATTTCAAAAAACATGTATGTAATATTGAATTAACAGTATTATACACAAGGGTAACTGAGCAATTTCCTCAGCTTTTCAAAAACCATACCATTAATATAACTCAAGTAATAAAAGCATCTTAACAGTGGGGGGGGGTTAAGAACATTGGTGAACAGCCTTAGAAGTAAGAAATTGACCCATTTAGATAGACCCATTAGGTTTCTGTAAATTGCATTTATTTATCTGAAAAGCCACAGAATTCTAAGCAGTAGTTAAGAGAAATTCCTTAACATCTAGGAAAATTAAAATTAAAAAAAAAAATCAAGGTGGGGTCTCCCTATGTAGTCTTGACTGGTCTGGATCTGGCTATGTAGACCAGGCTGGCCTCAAACTCATAGAGATCCATCTGTCTCTCCCTCCTGAGTGCTGGGTTTAAAGGTGTGTGCCACCACAGTCAGCAAGGAGAATCAGATTTTAGAACATGCATTCACTTGAGAGATGTTTGCTAAGCTCTGATTATTTCCTACTCTCTATGCTCAACAGGAAAGAACTAGTTTCTGCCCTCACAGAATGTTACTTAAAATAGTAACATTATGGGAAATAAAGTACCTAATGATACTGGAATAAAAAATATTGCTTATTATGGAATGAGTATGATATGGGAGTATTTACAGTCATTAAAAATAATGATTTTAAGATTCCATTGTTTTTTTCTGCTGAGTAGTACTCCATTGTGTAAATGTACCACATTTTCTCCATCCATTCTTCAGTAGAGGGGCATCTAGGCTGCTTCCATGTTCTGGCTATTACAAATAGTGCTGCTATGAACATTGTTGAGCAGATGTCCTTGTTGTATGAATGTGCTTCTTTGGGGTATATGCCTAGGAGTGGAATTGCTGGATCTTGTGGTAGACTGATTCCCATTTTCTTGAGGAGTCGCCATACTGATTTCCAAAGTGGCTGTACAAGT